AATATTTACTGACCTATGGTAGTTTAAAATATTTCTCCTCTGCATACCCAAGTGTCAGTTTCCAACTGTCATGGAAGTTACCTACACTGATAGTTTAAACTCTTTTTCTAGGCAAGGAACAACCAGAACTGCTGAAATACATATGTGTGGTTTCCATCCTGACATCTTTGCAATGGAGGCAAAAGCTTCTCAGAGAGTGGTGGAGCAGTTAGTTAGAAGCCATAGCCTTGTCAGCTGCTGGTATTCCTTAGGGGTTGTCTGTCAGACTCCTAAAACTGTAAATGGATGTTTGGACCACCTCAGAGGGTTAGCTCTTCTGTGAAACACTGATCAAATCCAGTTGATGTTGCACTGTTCATGGGACCCCTTTCACAGGTGCAGCAGGGAGCCAGTAACTCTCAGTAGGAATTGTAAACTCCTAAACTGGCATGGAGATTTCTGTCATCAATATACCCCAGTTTACCTTCACTTTGCTTTTAACAGATGTTGAAAATGGTTTAAAATATGCCAAGAAAAGAAAGAAATGGGGAGAGATGTTGAACCTGTTGAACCATCCAGTCAATTTCCTGCCAGTGGAGACATACTTCTGGTAGATCATTTGGAAATATATTTCAAGTTCATTTTAAAATGATTTAACTCAAAGAATTCCTACCACTTCCTCAGAAAAAAAAATAAGTAATAATAATAATTGCACAACCCCTGGCTCTTCATTGCCAACAAGGCTTTCTGATATTCAGTCTTTACCCACCCTCTTTTCCTTTACTCCTACTTGTTCCCATATATATAAACCCAAGTTTTTTCTCCCCATCCTTAAGGTTTACATTACTTAAGCATTTGCCAGCTGGAGACATGCTTCCGTCTACCTCTGCTTTAAGATGTATTTAATACTAGATGTATTTAGCTCTTTTAACCTTTTTGTATAGCACAGCTCTTCCGGATAATTCTTGCTGCTGTTCCTTGAATTGCCTCATTTGCCTTGGCGTTATGATGGATTGCACAGAAACGCTGCACATACCAGCACTGAGTCTGCTAGGGAAAAGTTGTCCTTTCAGAAATGTTTCAATAAACTTGAGCTGCTCAAATGAGTTTGCATCACTTCGGCATCTTGCATCACTTGGCTATATTTTTGAGCTAGTACCAGGCACCCCGCAGCTGGGTTTACTGCTCTGGGAATCTGTGGGTTGTCTTTTACTTGCCGATACTTTGCAGCTCTGGGTACTCAGCGGGACCTGTGAGCTAAAGGCAAACCCTGCAACCAAGGATGAGCGGCTCAGGGCTCCCTCCTGCTTCATTATCCATGGCAGCTGCAAGTCATTGAAGGACTTTGTTTCCAGCATTTTATTTATGGCATTGCGAAACTGGTGCCTTGAAGAAAACAGAGGAGATATGATATACTGGAGTTTTAATATTCAAGTTTGTCTACAAGATTTATTTGCAGTGAACCCTTGTTCCTTTTTTCTTCATTCCATTATTCTCTAGATAAACAGTGGTAAACTTGCTTCTTTTTTATTCTTTGTTTGATTTTAATTTTCTGTTCAATTTATCATTCATATGACCATGCACCTAATTTAGAATCCAAAATATCACATCATTTTTGTGAACCTACTGAGAGAAAAAAAACCTTTCTTTCTTTAAGTATTTTAGATTTTACGAACTAAATGCATTGATCCAGAAAAGACTTCCTCAAAGAAGAGGGTGAACAACTTCTGGTTGTTCTTGGTATTTATGACAGCTGCTTGTGCTGTGAGAGCTTCCCTTCAGCTTTGTCATGATAAAGACCGCCACACTGTGTGATTTGGGCCTACCAGTTTCCTTTAACGAAGTAAATTAGATGGTATTTTAAGGGCAATAGTAGTAGCTGTGGTAGCTCTATGGTGAAATGTGATGTGAACTGTTGCTGTGGATATGACACTTTGGAGGGAAGGAAGAGACCTCGACAGGTGTGAGAGGTGAGCCTGTGTGAACTTCATGAAGTTCACCAAGGCCCAGTGCAAGGTCTTGCACCTGGTATGGAGCAATCCAAAGCACCAGTACTGTCTGAGTGATGAGTGGATAGAGGGCAGCCCTGTGGAGAAGGATTTGAGGGTACTGGTGGATGAAAACTCAATATGAGCTGGCAATTGTGTGCTTGCAGCCCAGAAAGCCTACTGAGTCCTGGGCTCCATCAAAAGAAGCGTGGCCAGCATGGTCAAAGGAGGTGATTCTCCTCCTCTGCTCTGCTCTCATGAAACCCCACATGGAGCCCTGCATTCAGCTCTGGGGGCCCCAGCATAAGGATATGGACCTGTTGGAGATGGTCCAGAGGAGAGCCACAGGGATGATCAAAGGGCTGGAGCACCTCTCCTACAAAGACAGGCTGAGAGAGCTGGGGTTGTTCAGCTTGGAGAAGAAAAGGCTCCAGGGAGACCTTACAGTGGCCTTCCAGTACCTAAAGGAGACCTACAGGAGAGATGGGGAGAGACTCTTTGTCAGGGACTGGTAGGACAAGGGGTAGTGGCTTTAAGCTAAAAGAAGGTAGATTATAATTAGATATTAGAAAGAAATTCTTTACTGTGAGGGTGGTGAGGCGCTGGCACAGGCTGCCCAGAGAAGCTGTGGATGCCCCATCCCTGGAGGTGTTCAACGCCAGGTTGGATGGGCTTTGGGCAACCTAGTCTAGTGAGTGGCATCCCTGCCCATGGCAGGGAGGGGTGGAACTGGATGATCTTTAAGGCCCTTTCCAACCCAAACCACTCTGTGATTCTGTGATTCTACACATATCTTTTTGTTGCATGCAATGGGCATTAACCTTGTTCATTTGACCACAGCTTTATGTTTCCGTGGTGCTGAATCTGTGTCATGCAATTGCCATAGCACAGCCCATCTCTTATGTTGTGATGCCTGCACCAGAGAGACTTGGTTCATCTGATCTGGGGTGACCCATGGCATATAAGTTTGATATGTAAAAGGTGAAGACACTGAGAGGAGCCTGGCTAGAAGTAGGTATTGCACAGCTGTACTGCAGTGACATGAGCTGAAAGTGCTGAGCGACTGCATGGATCACTGATATTTGACCTAACTTGTTGTCAATGTCCTCATGCCCTACTCATCCCATGTGGTGGTGTGCTATGGGGACATAGTGAACCTGGGAGATACAGCACAAAGGGTTCGGTCCTGCCATGAAGTCCAACACAGCAGAAGACTTCAACACCAGTTTAGTTCTGTGCTTAAGAGGAGTGTCAGTGAAGGGGACTGTTCCCATTTGACCATGTCTTTGTTGGGATATCTTACTGGTATGCTCCCAGCTTTCCAGTTTCAGTCCCCAAGGGTGCAGCGACACAGCCCACTTGGGACTGCCAGCACAGTTGTATTGCCTCCGCAACGCTTGGCAACCTGGCAAATTTTCTTTTCTGGTGGCGTAGCTGATAGGTGTTCTGTTGTCACGGCAAGGTATGTGATATTTATTCCTCCCATATGCTCCACCGATACAGCAAGGCTGGAACTTTGTAGCACGCAACTCCTCTCAAGACTGGCCTGGTTCTTTGCTGACCTGCAGAGAAGAAATTGAGGGTTGCTGATGTGTTATCATAGTGTGGTACCCACAGAATGATCCTAGATGGGTGCTACATGTGCTCAATTCTGTTAAATTTTCTGCTGAAAGAGGAGGTATTGAGTGCAAAACCACTCTTGCATGCAGAAGCAGTCTATTGATGCAAAAGAAGGAGAGAGCAAAGAGGAAGAAATAGAAAAGGAATAGTCCTGATCTGAGTGTGACCAAGCAAATACCCTGTTCAGCCCAAAGATACATAGATGACATTCTTAAATTCCTAATGCTTTTCTGAGTGTTGAAACTTCATTATAAACCTGTTCTCCATGCAGGTTCAGAAGCCCAGCTAAAGACACCTCCATCTGAAGTTCGTGGGCTGGGTTTATTCAGTCCCAGACTAGCTGCCAATGCACGTAGAGCCCAGATATCCCTATCAGATGTCCCTAGCAGGACGTTTTTTTTAGATGCTGTTGATTTCAGTTCATCAGGTGAACAAAGCAATACATGAAGCGTGCAGAGAGGGCATACATCAGGGGCAGTGTCACCTATGGATTCTGGTTACCGTCTGGGCCCCTCATCCTCAGAGAAGAAGACAAAAGTCAGAGACATCTGTGCATAGGAGATGAACTTGCAGGATGAGGCAGGGTGAAATTGTGATGGTAGGATTTGATTAAATGACCTTAAAACTCAAAAGCAGGTCTGTCTGTTTGTTTCTGCCTTGTGTGCTTGTGACATCTCTTCTCAGCTTTTTAAAATTTCTCTTCTGGACAAGCTTGAAGAGTTTGATGATTACCTCCTCTTTGCCCTTCAGACGGCTCTAGATATTTTCTCCATCTAAGCTGCGTCATATGCTACATGATATGAAGACTGAGTAGGAGGATGTCTGGATTTTCCTGTCCTTTCAGGTAGCCTGTTATAATTCAAAGTGGCATTATGGGTATACACTTTGGGTGTGCACTTCTTCTTTTTTGGTCTTCTGCTGTCTCTTTCATTTCTCTTTCTGGGTTGGATTGTATAAATGATGGTTCTTCACTGTTGGCTGACTTCCCCTTTGCTGCTGTGGGTAAAGATCTCTTTCAGTTCTGCAAGTTAAAATAGAAAAAAAAAAAAAGAAGAGAGAGAGAGAGAAAGAACAAAATCTGGGGTAGGCTCTCATGATGCAGCTTTGTAGCTTTGAACAGGCTTTCCCTGGTATTTTATTGCTATGGACTGGTGGACATCACTGTAACACGTCTCCAAGCTCATCCTCTCCCATGCTGGGGAATAAAGGCTCCCAAGGAGCAGCATGGCAATATTTATGGACAAGAGTTAGCCCCAAGGTCTGTAGACTGCAGTAGTGACATCATTTGAGGCTAGCTTTGCCTTATTTGTCACCTCCCCATATTATTTTTAAATATGCTGTGCTGTCCTTTTTGTGCTGTAGGCTCTGGGGGAAAGAGAGGGGTCTGCAGAGCTGAGGGAGGGAGCTCACGAGTGTCATCTCCTCCCCTTCACCCTTCAGAGGAGGTCTGCCAGTGCAGACAAAAGAGCAGTGGCACCAGCTGGGCTGGACAGGAGTAACGCAGCTCCTGCAAGAGGCTGCATTTACAGCGTGAGCTGTCTATGAGCAGGTTGTAGCAGGTGCTTTGGGAACTGGCTCATCCTAACTGGGTTAATGTGTGCTTCTGTCCTGCAAAATTGTATCTCTTAAATCCCAGACGTGTATAAGCTGAGAGGTGGTTGAGTGTGAAACATCCCAGTCTTTTGCTGCACACGGGAGTACAGAAAGATTCAAAAGCGCTCACTTGGATGAGGAGCTGCAGCGGATTACAGGGACAGGGAGGCTTGTCCTGAAGCTCCTGAATAAGTAGTTGATTTTCTTGAAGAATGAAATGCTGAGTGTTGAATTTTCTTGAAGAATGAATTGTTTTGCATAAGAACCAGCTGCTCTTCATCCACATCCCACCAGCAGAAGAAGAGCTGTCAGCCTTGCCTGTCCAAACTATAGGTGCCTGGGCACGCATCAGCATGGAGGTGCAATTGATTTTAACAGAAAGAATGGGGAGGGAGAAAGGAGAACCACAAAAAGACAGCGTTAAAGGATCCTATACGTACCTGTAGGGTCATGTCTAGCTGGATGAGTGTGGGTCATTGCTTGTCTACTCTTTTGCTTTGAGCTACCAGGATGCAGGCCAGCTTTGATAAGAAAACTGAAACCACAGTGGTGTGACACCGTGCTTGCATTTACCATAACCACTCTCTGAGCAGGGTTTACCAACACAGCTCTTAGCTTTCTGGTCAATGCAGCTACCTAATATCCAGACCAATCTGGCTTGCATCCAGCCAGCTCAGACCACAGGCAGCTGCACGTAATGCCCCGCACAGGCACTTTATCCTCACTTACATTTTTCTTTGGCTCATTACAGTTGTCAGCTATCACAGTGGCTTCTGCAGCAGTCGTGAATGGGCAAGAGCAAATTATCAGTCCTTCTCTGAACTGCTCTTGCGACAACAACATTCTTGGTATATAATTTCATCTCTTTTGGATTGTTCAAGTAAAATGTAAGAATGAGAATGTACTGAGGCCAAAGAGGGGAAAAATGAAAAACAGAACGGCTCTAAGCTATTACTTATTTAAAGTCACTTTGAAATGAAATTAAGCTTTTCAAAGATGAATGGGTTTCTTGTGACTCCAAAACAAACAATGAGCAACAAAATCCAGACTTGCTTGTGCAGAAATGATTTAGGTGGTGAACGGGGAAGAGATGCTCCTAGTGGGCTGATTTGCACAAAGTACACTTGCAAGTTCTTGAAAAACCCATGTAGGAGGGAGTCCCACAGCAAGTTTGTAAACTGATATGACTCAGCATCATCCAGATAAGGTTTTCACAGGGGAACAGAAGACAAAACCTCTGATCCAGGTTGCTGTCATAGAAGACAGGGTAGTAAATGGTCCTGTTAGTGTCTCAATCGTAGCTTACGCAGGACGTTGTATTGCCAACATTCCTTTGCTTCGTATTGTACCAGTATTGTACTTTGACACAGCGCGGCTGCGTGAGTGTTTCAAGGGAAATCGATAGTTCTTCCAAGAGGAGGTCACCAGGGCCGGGCGTGTCAGAAGAAAGGCACAAGATGAAAAGCCACCGAGGGGACTTCCTGGCCAGGAATTATGCAGCGGGCCGTCAGCCTGCTTTCGTAGGAACAGAAGTAAAAGAAACATCCTGAGAGAACTGAACCATCCAGGCAAACAGTGACAGATGGATCTGGGAAGTCCAGCTTCTCCCTCAAGCAACGTCTGCTGGTGCTGGAAATACTCAGAAAGCCACGCCGTGCTTAAAATGAAACAAACAAATAAATCTGCGAGAAGGAAACAAACAAGCCAAGATAACGAATTAGCAGCCAAAGTACATGCTTGCTGTGATAAAATGGCATTTTGACAATAAAGCTGCATGAAATGCTCCCTTGCGTTTGCACGGTGCCAGCCATACAAGATAGAGAACAAAGATCGTTCAGGGCCGTAATCAGGAGTCTGAGCCCTACCGGTTCTGGTCTCATCCAGAACTTGCAGGTACTAACCTCCTGATCCCGCCCAAAAATGTTTATTTAACATCCCTTCTGGTTTACCTGCATGTTTCTCCTAAAATATGCAGAATGCAAAGCACTTCAAAATATCAGTAAGTGAAGCTTCAGTAGATTCTTGTGTGGTTTGTAACTTGTGATCCATTCAGAGCCAAGAAACAGAGATGCTAAATGGTTACACTCACAGAAAGCACAGAAAGGCAGGGAGAGGGAACACCATGGCCTTGAACCATGTTATTTATATAGAAGACCTATACTTTTATAAATAGATGAGAAAGCATACTTTTTAAAAAAATGATGTGCCTAATAAATAAAAAGTGGTGCTACAGTTAAATTATATGAAGTTCTCAAACTTGTTACTACACTGGATCATTGATAAATAAACGTGTTGGTACCCTAGTGGCTACCTCTACAGAAAGCCGTAGTAAGCTTCTGGAGCACAAGTGAAAACTGAATTATTCATAGTTTAGCTTGTCATTTCTTTTCATGCTTCATATCTTTGAAAACAGTGTCATTTTTAGCTCTTCAAAATACATAGGCACCAGTGTCGTTTTTGCAAAACTATGTATTTTAAGGAGGGTGTTTAAACAGTGCTGGCAACTTCATCTTCCTAAATGTTAGTGTTCTGGTTTTCATCTATATAAAGAAAGCGGGTTTGCAGTGGAAAACCAAGTTTTTAAGCTCAAAAACTATGGTTAGAAAAAATATTTTGAAAATGAAAACATAAAGGAAAAAATATCTGTGTTAAAATTGGCCCACGATGCCTGCTGCAATATTACTGTCACTGGTGCAGTTGCTGTGGAGAGCAGAACACCAGTACAGGTATAAAGGCACAGGAATTGACTTGTTGCTATTCCAGCAGGGCAGAGCCCCATGAATCACCCTATGAAGCACACATCAAATCCTTTTATGTAAACATCATACCGGGCTGGCTCTAATTCCCCATGCACCCTAGGAGGACTGCTGATGTGGCATTCCCCAAGCGCACATTTGCTTTGCGTAATTGTGGGCAATCGTCCTCCGGCACCGTGTGCCTAAGTGTAAGCTTCTACATCGCCTGCTACGGGTGAGCAAAAATAGATGGGGAAAAGCAAACTCTGAGCGTGGCCACGTGCTCACCAGGACACCTCCTACGCCTCTCATGGCCATGGCTCCCCCAGGAGACAGGATCCATCCTGTGCACCACAGTCCCACGCCTGGATCCAAGCCCATGGAGACCCAGACCATGTCCTGCTGGGTCTGCATCATCGTGCAGGGGCTCCAGAGCCATGTCTCTGGCATCACCTGAGGCTTCCCAGCAGCCTTCTGCTCCAGTACAGCGTGCTGAGGGCCCGTCTGTGTTCACAGCAGTGTTTAATTTGCTGAATCAGGACTCCGCGAACTGATTCAGACCTAGGTTTTGGTGACTAATGCCAGGCACTCCCTTCCTCCTAGGCAGCAGTAGCTACTCAGTGCTCCCGAGCCCTGTTCAGCCAGGCAGCTACAGGGCTGGAGACCAGCTGTGCTTTCCACCGTGTGAACAGGTGGTGACGGATAAGGCCTTACTTATCCCCCAGGTGGTTGGTTTTTATTCATGCAAGCATGTCAATTAATAGCCTGAGCTTTTGCCTGAGCTTTTTTTTTTTTTTTTTTTTTTTTTTAATCTGTGTAGTTGGACTGATCGTAAAATATAATCCTTGCACACCCTATAGTTTACAGGACTGCTCTTCTCGAAGAGAGAGCCTGGGTGGGGTACTGTGAAACTCCTGTTGTTGCTCCTCTCAGACAGCTGGGATCAGATGTAGAATAAAGCAAATATCTTGGGAATACTTTTAGCACTGAAAACTGTATGATAGGCACAGTTTTATCTATGTAAAGCTGTCTTCTACCAGGTTGTTTTATCACTCACACGTAGAGGCGTAAGATTTACAGGAACACAGAATGAAAGCTCTGGCCCAACTTCCCTTTGCCTCTCCTCATCCATCAAGCATAAAAAGCATAATAAAATATAAACGCAGCAATTTCACACTCCGATAACCATACAGCTCCAGGTGCTCTCTGCACTCCTGGTGCAACTTTTCCCCTATTTTCTTCAGCAGGGATTGGAAAGCACTAGCAGTTTGGGCATCGCTGTGATCTCCGTGGTTCCAGGAAGCCCACTGGTCCTCACAGGCTTCAGCGTGGGGCTGCCTGCTCAAGTCTGGGGATACCCCAAATTCTTTATTCGAGGTCTCTCTATTGGTGAGATAAAATATTTGTTCTGCTGACCAGGCTCATCCATTACATGCAATTTGTGTCTTGAGAGCTTCGATGTAGAAACCAATGATACCCCCGTGATCTAAACCTTCTAAACCAATCTTCTAAAAAAGCTGCAGAGTTCCTTTGGCTTGGGCTGGATCTTCTTCCTGTGGGTTTTCTTGGGTATCTTCGGTTTTCATATCTCGAGCTAGATAATTTATCATCTGCTGAAATATCCTTGGCATATGCATGAATATGAAAGGTGCTCTGTAGAATTTGCGGTGGTTTTGTGCTCTGCCTTAATTTGTCAATGTCACCGTAATTGGATGACCCAGACTCCAGATCAAAACCAATAAGACGCTTTGCTCTTGACTGCAGGAAAGTGGGCCACTATTTGGAATTACATTTCTTGTAGTTATTGCAAAGCTTTGACTCATTTGGGGAAGTCATTTATTTATTTATTTATTTATTTATTTATTTATTTTTCCTTAATAGTTCCACTATGGGTAGTTCAGGATGATGCAGATGTGGTCAGGCCACTTTCTATCACCCAATCTAATCCCTCACAGTTAGGCACTATGACAAGAAAAAAACATAAGGGCGTATTGTGTTGTGTCACCTTATGATATACCTGTCTGTGCTGCTCAAATCCTTGCAAATTTAATGAAAATGGTTTGTATTAGAGCTTTAGCCTCTGTTCTTTGTCTTCTATGAATGCTTCCCTCAACTGTATACCAAGTGCGATGTTTCACTTTTCTTTTCGATGACACGCTGTGAAACATTTGGCTATTGTCATTATGGTCTGGTATGTCAATTATGTTTTGTTTTGTTTTGTTTTGTTCTCACTTAGAGTCCCAGTTCTGATGCTGTGTGAAGCAGTGTACTGACTAGGAGAAAACCTGACTGCACAGCTGTAGTTTCAAATCCTCCAACAGGTTCGCTTAGGAGCAGCATTGCACAATGACCTAGTTTAGAGGTATCATGGGGAGAAATTCATCTTTGCTACTCCCTACTTATTCAAGAAACACCTGAAGCCTGGAGAACTCCCTGGAGCCATATCTTTGCCTTCCAGCTTTCAGTGGGGGGCTTCAACACTGTTCCAGAGCCCATTTAATCTGTCAGGTACCCCGCAATCCCATCGGGGCCCTCACATGAAGATGACTCCCATTATGGTAGCAGTAGAAAAACTGATCACACAACATACTCCACTGAGTTTCCATAGGTTTAATGGAAGATGAATATGAATTTCCAGATTTAATGGAAGATGAATTTGTGTTTGTGCCTGCATCAGGCAATCATTGATAGTTCCATGTCATTCTGGCAGTATGTTTTCTTCCTCTTTGGCTCGTGAGCATTTTTCATGGATCACATTTTCACCAAATCACAGCCCAACAGCACTCTGCCTTTTCAGCTATTGACCTCTGCAGAGCACAGCAGGTGCCTGGACAGCTCATCACATGTGTTCTTCCAGTCGTTGCTGGTTGTGTGTTGACATCTCCGCAGCCCCTGGTTTCCTGGACGAAGCTTCCCTCCATTTGGGCAAGTCCCCCTCCTGTGGCCTTTGTCTCCACCTCATCTGCAAGCACCATCTGGGCTGGGATCCCCCCAACAAACAGCTTCTTTCATCTGACCCATGGGATGCCTACAAACATGTTGCGCCTGGGCCTCCTCCAAAGCTTTAGTCACTTCACTAGAAATGTTTCCTTGAAACTTTGCATCTGCCCTAAATGACTCACCCTGAGGCTGGGAATTCACAGCTGATACTTTCGAAAATCCACCCTAAATTTCTTCCTCTGTGTTTGTATCTCATTCCATAGCCCACCCATTACATTACCACCAGTTACATTTTCTTCCTCAGTGAACAAACTACTATTTGCTTTGTTAAAACTCTTTTCAAAGTTACACAAGTAATACAAGAGTTTCTGAAGGCTTCCCCCCTCCCCAGCACGTGATCCCTGGTATTACTCATTCTGAATTCAACAGAGTAAGTTCTGCTTCACTTGAACCATTTTCTGACCCTGGACCTACAGGGAAACCCCCTGCAAAAGCTTCCTCAATGCAAATAACCATCTGCCTAGAGGTTGCCCCATTGCTGCTCTTGGATGTGCTGTTTATTTGGCATTTCCATGTCCATTTTTTTCCTTCCTGCAGCTCAAGAAAATGTCTACAAATGTCTGCTTTGCAAGGTGCACTGCCTGCATGTGAAAATTCATGGCAAAAGGCTTTGGCCTTACTATCCAGAAGCATCCAGATGCTGTCCTGTTTCCCTTTACCTGCAGTGAGCAACAGCTCGGTGACTGGAAAGCCCTCCTACACAAGGGCAACACATTTCTTGGAAAAAACGCTGCTTCTATTCCGAGCCCACTGCCACGGTTACAAAGTAGAAAAAAGCTGGTGGGAAAGGCAGTAACACCCCAGCCCAGACAGCAGCACTGGTTTCCTTTAAGACCACTTGCTCAGAGGCAGCAGTTATATAATAAATATAAAACTGCATCGTGTGTTATGGAGAAAGCACAGCACTGTCTTATGGAGCAGGTGCTCTCGGGACCCATCGTTTCAAAGCATTCATTGCCTTGCCTATCTGCAAGGGGCTATGGGCTGCAACCTGGAGGAAGCAAGGGAAAACTGCCAGAAAGTTAATGGTAGAGATAAAACCATGCAGGCTTTATTTGAGGATGACCTAAATCAAGTCAAAGCACTGATGAGAGACTCACATGACTCTCCCAAGCCTGAATCTGGCTTTGGGCTGGGACCTCGACCTGAAGAGTTCTGCTTTGAGGTGACCAGGCTTGTTGCTAAAATACTCTCCTTGTTGCAAACAGCAACCGAGGCACTTTGCCAAACCATCTTGTCCTCACTGTCAGCATGAAAGAACATTGACTCATCGCTCTGCCAATCTGGTTTATGGTTGCCGTGTGGTCAGAGATCAGGAGGGCAATGTAAGGCACCGATCCAGGTGGGTTACCAATCCCTGTGCAACAAAACGTTTGCTCAGAGCAGACATTCATACACGGGCAAACATCAGAATTGTACATCATGGCTTTTTTCTCCCCCCCCCTTCTTTTTGACTTTTAAATGGAAAAGAAAAGCCTGGAATAGCTTCTTACTGCAGCGGCACAGTCTCACTGAACTTTATAAGCTCTGTGCCATAGAATGACTTTCACACGGCACAACAGCTGACACACAAAGATAAACAGCATTATTTTATCATTTCTGTGACTCACCTGACATCAGGCCACGTTTAGTCATACTTCAAGGAGCTTATTGATGGGTAGGGAAATTTGTTTTAGTTATCAAGCAAATGAATTTTTTAGTTAATTTTATTTATGGTGTATATCTACCACTGTAATAAAATCAAACTGAGAGCAAAAGTCCTTTCTGAGGCCCATGGCTCGCAGCCTCAGATTTGTAGGCAGCAGAGAGCTTATTTATTTATTTGCGTCTGCCTTTTTCTTTCTCCCTGAAGGGGAAATTGCTTAGTAAGCAGGGCCTTCTGGGCTCACGAATAGCAATGCTAGATGTGTGGCTGAGAGCCCTCTATCCATGCTTGGCTCCTTGCTGAGGGAAAGCCTGGTTGCTTCACGTTTTTCTCATGAAGGGTGACTTTTTCCATCATTCCAAGTATGAGAATGATCGACCCCCCGTTGCCAAAGATATCTGAGATCTGCCCAGCCATCTGCCATTCCTCTGGGACCGTGGTGCTGTGCCTCCCTTCCCTGCAGCGTGGATCCAGGGTTTTCCTCTCGCAGAAGGAGGGAGATGAGGGTACCTCGGTAGCCTTCAGCCCTGACGCCTCCAAACCTGGCACTCTGCTAACCCAGCATACCATAAACCTTTTCTTATCAGTAAAATGCTCTGATGAAAGAGGAAGCCGGGAGGTGATATAAAGAAGAAAATGACCCACTATAAATGCACTTTTCTAAGGTGATCAACAGATCAGTCATTGTTCCTCTTACTCATTCAGCCAGCTTCTAGACACTTCTGCAAGGAGTATTGACTACATAAAACAAATACATTGCAAAATACTTCATTCTGCTGAAAAGCTGATTTTTGTGTTTTTCAGTTCTGTTCCATTCCTATGAAGGCAGAATGAAAAATAAAACCGCCTATATTTTAACAGTATTAAAAGAAATTGCTTAAACACAGCTATTTGAAATGGAGGAAAGGATACTAGCTACAACGGAGATCAACTTTTTCTGGCTGCTCCACTGAGAAGTCCCTGCTAATACCCAAATTTATTAGCATTGCT